TGACCTTCAGCTTTATCCCTGCATCTATCTATCGGTCCATGTACAGGTAGGTATTCCTTGAATCTTTCCTTCTTTCAATATTCCGTACACATCCAGACCCTCCTTATCCTTGGTTTCTTTGTTTTGATTCTGTCCTTCTTCCTCGGCAAAAGCAAAATATCTTCTCCTTGAACCCCTCAAGACCTTCCGATTCAGTGTATCGCCGTCAATTTCGAACACCTTCCATGCGTCATCTACAACATTGACCCACTCCGTAGGCTGGTACACCAATTCTTCTTGTTTGTCCACTTTGCCTCCCAAGCTTTTGTCGGCGACCTCTCCTCTCCCATACCGTACATGGGGTACTGACATCTAGGGGGCGAATTGACGGCTACTACTTTACTCTTACAGCAGTAGTGTCTCGTGATGAAATCCACCCACGGAAAGACCTGTGTCCTCTGCATACAGGCAATCGGTTTAGAAATGAGAACAACAACCCCGATTATCACAGGTGGATGCCTGCTCCAAATAAGAACTAGGAAAATAACAACATGTGCTCCGTCGGAGGCAACGAATAAGCGTCGAGCCTCAAGCTGAATATGCGGTTCTTAAGTGGTGGCGCGTTCTGTAGGCATGTTGTTCATCGAACAGACACGGAATACAGTTTCGGATTGATGGTATTTGTTCTGAAAACCTGGGGATCACCAGGGGGAAGAAATTGTAATTCCAGGTTTCTATTACCGTTTTATTATGCATAATACCAGGTTTTACGGGGCAATTTGTTTGTTTTTTTTCCGCCGCACCCGTTTCGAAATAGAGTCTACGCCGAAAAACGCTACTTAAGTAACTTGCAGTATCTATCTTGGACTCTTCAAGATAGAGATGGATTCGTTGGGTCATACTAAAAAAACAACGTTCAGTTTGGAGATTCGGAGCACCTCAGGATACACGCTCCCGCAAGCCGCGGATCGATCGGCGTGACGTCGGTCGACATCTGCAGGCGGCGGTAGCTCAAGGCAAACAATAAACAACCCTGTTCCGCACAGGTTGGCACCTCCACACGCCAAGTGGCACACACGGGAAGCAAGCTCAGACCTTCTCGAGTCGTCTCTCAGACTACCCCTCTCGAGCGGTATATCGAACCGGTCTTCCCCCGGAGCCGGCGCCGTATCCTGTGCGCAGCCCCCTGCGGGCCTGTACCAGTGTGGAAAGTCACGCCTCCTGGGAACTCGCTCCTGCCGATCTCGCTACAACCCAGCTTCAACACGCACACAGCCGGAGTTCAGCCGCAATTTTGTTTTGCGGTGGTCCGCCATCACTCGGGTCTCCCACACTTTCTTCAGTTTTGCGAAACCGGCCATGGGACACCCATGGGCGGCCAATGAGTGCCCTTCAACCGGAACCAGTGTGTAGTACTCCTAAACAATAGATTTCTGCGTTGTGGAACGGGCATTTTCGAAACGGCAAAAAAACGCACCGGTTTTTCGTTCACCGATCCGGGATTTGTTCTACCCAACGCATGTGTTTTTTTCTGATCTCCGATGGCAATGGGCCTATATATAATTCCCTAACGCTAACCTAATAGAGCCCTAACCCCAAGCCCATACCAAACGTGCTAGGTAGGCTTTGGGTGGCTAAGCTCTAGGTTGATATGCCGTGGCGAGTCCTAGGTTGCCCACGGTGGGCATCACTTCGTGGGCAGTTCATGGGCTGGGGCCCGCCCACGGGCAGCTCATGGGCAGCCCATGGGCAGCCCATGGGCAGCCCATGGGCCGTCCATGGGTCTGGGATGCCCATGGGGACCCCACGGGCGGTTTAACTGCCGGTAGCGTGGGAGATTGGGAAAGGTTGACCAAGCTCCTATTGACTACGTATGAAGTGTGTTTGCGTTAGCAATCAAGTTTGCACAAAAAGCAGACGTTGGTACAATGTATGCTGCCTACTACCTGGTTGCGACGGGTTCCGAGCTAAAGCGGGCCCCCCCTCAAGGCATGGATTTTACAAGAAAAAAAAATGGCTTCGTTGATGCCGGACGTACGTGAGAAAAACAATTACCCCAAAAACAAAAGGTCGGGTCGAACTCGATTCCAACTTGTTTTTTTCCGCATTCCAGAACTTGTTTTTTATTGGGGAAGTGACGGCAATCACTTCTGCTTGGCCGAATTAGGGAGGGTAGAGCCACTCAGAAAGTTAGTCAAGCAAAAACCCGTGCCCGGAAGCGCATGTGAAAATGGTCTATTTTCCCTAGCGAAAGCTCTGGCTGGTCGCAAGTGTAAACTTTGAAGAGACGTAAGTAATGTAATAGCGTTGAAAAGCCTGAAACTCTCACGTTTTGTCTTCGCTCTCAGTTCGCGAATTTGACGACTCACGGAGGCCTGAGCTGTATTCCTTTGTCTTCTCTCTCTTTCTCGCTCTCTATCACTCACACACACACTTTCGAGCTAATGTCTCGAGACCGGGTCTTGGCTTGGTTGGAGCTCAGCTTCACGAACAAACGGTCTCAATATGTTCGAACATCACGACGTTACGTGATACGAACAACAAGTCACGGGGGTTTGGTTCTTGACTGAAAACCAGGTTCGTTCTTGGTAGACAGGTCTCGACCCCGAGACCGCCTGCTCAAAGAAACATAACAGTTGCCCGTTCGTTGAAGGTTGCGGTTTAACTCCTGATGCTTCGGCTCATTTATCACATTTATGTATCCAAAAACACAAGCTGTCATTTCCCCCCCCCGATCGTGAACACAACTTGGAGGCGGACTTGTGCAGTCTGTAAGAGCCATTGGTGCATGACGCAAACGCACCAGAAGAATTGAGATGATGTCCAAAGGTTCGCAACTGTACGCCTATTTCCCCCAGCGAATCAAACCAGTAAAAGCTGATCGCTGCGTACAGATGTACCGTTGCGAAAGGATCGATTTTGTGTTTATTCGGGACACGGCCTGACTCAACGGCTGACAAAACGTAAAGAGACATTTATGAGTTTGACGAGAAAACCTGGTCCGTGCCTGCCACTAGGAATTTGAAAGACCGATTGCGAAGAAACCGGCTGTACAGTCTTTTGTCTCAAGAAAAGGAAAATACGTTTCCGATACGTACCTGAACATAGAGCAGCCGTTCGGCAGAGATAACCTATCTCCATGAAGGGGCTGCTGGTGCATGTCAGCAACTGCAAATAGACAACCTATGTAATACAGTAACGATGACGCCCAGCAATTGCAAAGAGGCAACCTGTCTCGATAACGCGGTTGCTGGTTTCCGTGGTCTATGGAAACGCTCCCCGGCGCGTTTCCGCGATGTTAGGTTTGACTCGGGTTGGGCCATCGAAGCCATAGACAGGTTGGTGGATGTGCCGTGTGACTTCCCGGATATGGTTTCGCGTTGAACATCTGATTTTAGTCGTTGTTCCGTGAAACCGTTTCGTTTTGGACATGCCCCCCAGAGCGAAGCCCTTGGTTTCCTATCGAATCAACCTTTTGGTGGAGATAAAAAAGGTCGATGCCATTCTTGGCCAATTCCCTGCTGCGAGTCTCATTCAGCAGCCGCAATCGCTCAGGGCGCACCCTCTGGTTTTGTCACTCCCGGAAAGGACGGCAATCTGCGGATGACCGTGAACTACGTAAAGCTCAACTACCCTGTGGAGCAAGCAATCTTTGCCAGCAAACGCAGCCACGTGTCAACCATATGTATATGTCCTCGATTATCTGCCCAAAGCAAGGTATTTTCCATTTTCGGCTTGACTCCCGCTCTCCGCAGATCACCGTGGACACTGACACAGTACAGCAGACGACGTCTTTTTACGCCTGTTCCGCTTTTAGATATTTTTTTTCAAAGGATCCGGATGCTTCACACGTCGTGATTCATCGTGGTCATCGACGAGGTTGCGTGTGTAGACGATCTTGTGTGTGTACCCTAACCCGATCGAACGTGTCGCCAACACAATTTATGTAGTGAGCATCTTCGCAAGTACAACCTCAAAATTTCTACTTTCACGTGTCGGCGATCAAAGCTGTTTGATTTTGGTCACACCATCTCCCCTGCGGCCGTTGGGCATTATCACCCTCACGCCGTGGTTGATTCCCTCACACAAATGCAGCTACCAGCCAACGTCGAGCAGCTGCGTTCTTTGCTGGGCGGGCCTTCGTGCTATTCCTAACATATCCAGGGTCTGGCCATGCGCGTAAACCTCTCACCAACCTCCTGCGTACGGACGCCAAGTTTGACTATCACAAAAGTATTGGCGGGACTCTCGGAGCCTCCAGTTATTGCCTGTCCGGGTTGGGAAGTTGACGTGAGTTGTAGCCGTCCCCCCCGCCTGTGCTGTGACACGTGTTCTGTGGATTTTCGGGGCGGCGCTCGAACAACAGGCCCGCCCATGGATCTATCCCCCCCATTCTGATTATGAGTCGCGCTACGCTGATATTTCGAAGCCGCAAGAATCGTGTCGGCGTTTGAACGCTTGCGGGGTTACCATTGGTTCACGCTTCATGATTCGGATCGCAATGCCGGCGTACAACGCTGGCGTGAGTTCTTCTCCATGGAAGCTACCACAATTGTCAACCAATGTAGGAGATCGCGAAGGACCCAGCTCGCTGCTTACACCTTTCCGAATCAAAAAATCATTCCTACTTCCATCCTTAGAACGTTACACTCAAGTGCTATCCGCACGCCCCCGGAAGGTCAGGACTTTCTACGCAGATCATTGACGGGCACGCACGAGCAGCATGCGATACATCAATGCAACAGCACCAAGAACAATTTGGATGCCATGGTCTTGTGGGCCAAATCCGCAGTTTATCGTGCTGGGCAAATCCTTCCACCTCAACCTCGTTTTGTCCATCAGTTAGACTACACTTGGCAATCCTTCGACGCCGAATTATGTGTATCTAAGCATTAGACTAGACTCCGTGGGCAACGATCTCGGATTGAATGCACATCGATCGATACTGCCGTCGACATGATAATTCATCGCTTCTCCGCCGCACGAAGAGGCCGAAGCCTTTCGATACTTTCGATACAGTCTCATTGTCCGGCCAGCAGCTGCGTGGCGAAGCTGGCAGCGGCAACGGCGGTGGCGGCGGCGGCGAAGAGGCCACCCGAGCGGAAGAAAGCGCCGGTCCCTGCGGCCACATTCCCCTAGCATGTCACCAACACCGGCATGGCAGATATTGGAGAAGAATTGCACGGAGAGTTAGGATCAGGATCAGGGGGGGGCGGGGTCGCCGTGCATCGTGCAAACCACCAGCAACATCTGAGGACGCCTGGAGTACTACGACGAAATCTAGAACCTCGTACATGTATGTAAAGTTTTTAGATTAGTACGTAGTGTACTTGTGTGTAACAACGGCGGTAGTCGAACTGAAGCACTATGTACACGCTGGAACGGTATGGCACATGCCGCCCACACTGACTGGTACATATTCCCTGGTACACAACATCGCACTAACCTCCTGCGTGTCTGCCTCCTCATCCGCCTCCGCAACCACGGCGGCGGAGAGCTCGTCGTCCCCACCGCCATCTTCGATGGATGTGGTGGTGGTGGTCGTCAACGCACGTTGTCATCACCGCCATCATCATCCCCAACGAAGGATGTATGGAGGAAAGAAAACGAAGGTGTAAAGTTGTGTTTTCCTGCTGAGCAGGTCGGGACTGTTGCACCCGAAAACGCACGCGGTGCAAACACACCACGGGATTGGAGCTCGAAACAGAGAGACGCACAAAGAGCATATACGGAGCAGTGGGCATTGCTGACTATCCTCAGAGCCATACGCCACCAAGCATACCGTACTCGCCGCGTGACCTGACGAGGAGACATCGGTTCTCGACAGCAATCTCGAGGGCTCTCAATTGACCTCTGTTTTAGGAGTCAATCGGTTGGGTTCCATGTTCGGTGATGAAGGAAAGTCGTGATCCTCACGCACATTGCTGTGTGTAGGCGAAAGTTGGATTTTGTTCTGATGAAAATACGGTCCCAGGAAAGCTCGGCATCTAGTCTTTCCGTCGGTTTGCACTTCATGGCGTAGAGCCTTTCCGCAACACGCCCAGCCACAACCGGCAATCGCCATGTTCTCGACCTACTTACCAGTGCTGCAGGTGTAGCCGTCTGTGCCAGGAGCGCAAGATTCGTCAGATTCACACGCACCGTCCTCCTCAGGGCAAGCTGCGAAAGGAAATAACGGGGGTAGGTGCTTTGTCAAGGAGCGTGGGAGGACCGGACGACAGCGCTACAGAATACTTTATTCCATCTTACAAGCATCCAGGTGTTCTGGAGTGCGCAACGACTCGCTGTGATGCGCTCAAGGGGCAAAAACTACCTGTTGCACCGGAATCGTCATCTCCATTGAATGCCACGGTGTCGGCTACTCCTTGATATACACAGTGCCGACGAGCATTGGTAGGCCTTATGTTGGGAGGCGGATCAAGGCGCGCAGACATTTTACTTGTTTCGTACGGAAAAGGTTGTGTCGTCAAGCGCACGTTTTATTGTTGTTGGGACTATTCGTTGCACAGAGAAGTTGGACCAATACGTCGGCGACAATATTGCCGTCTATTGCTTCGGAACATCAATGGAAGTACCACAACGCTAGCTGTGAGTAGAGTTCTCACAGCATATGCCGCCATCCTCAAAACCATCTGGGAGGAACAGGCTGTCGTCCGTGAGAAGAGGTGACCTGAACGGGGCGAAGGTTGCAAAGAGTGAAAGTGCATTTTGAGAGATGTGGGAGGTACCCATCATTCGACCATCTGCCGACGGCGACTTCACAGAAAATGCTCGCCTAAACTCACACAGTATTACACGCCTAGATCAACTACGCCAGGGGAAATCGTTTTTATCCTCGGGCAGAATAGATTCCATAGACATGTCGCCCCTCCAGGAGCGCCGCGGACGTTCAGCCATGGAGTAGCCACCGCAACGCTCAACTCCTCGGAACGCCGTCCACGGGTATAGTATGAAGAAGCATAAAATATGTTCACCACAACAACGGAATATTTTTCTCCTGGTACTTTGTGACACGAAAACCTTCACAAAGACGCCGCACCACCGACGGCTGCTCACCCGGTCAACGACGGTAGGCACTGTAAATTTTCGTTGTCTTCCAAGTTCCTGTGTGGAGCGAATGAGCACGAAAGCGTCAAAGACGGGTGAAGTGGCTGGGGCAGCGAGAGTTCTGAACGTGCGAACGATTGACGGAAGGGCGACGGTCACAGATGACTTAGCTAATCTATGCAGTTAAATAAGGTATGCCTCGCTCTGCTAGAGTGGGCACGCCGTCTAACACGTTCTCGATCCAACAATCCGAGGCACGAAGTGGTAGTGTGCCGATGAAATCAACAGCTGTATCGTGCAGATAGAAGGATTGCACGCTGTTCAGGAGTTGTAGCCAATGGGATCGACATGTCTCCCACTTGATGTTGATGATACCCATCATGGTCAGTCGCCGGTCAGATGCCGCCATGACTGTGCGAAGAAATTTCTTCTTTTCCGTGGATGAGACACTCACTGCTGTGCCAACCACAAGCAAGCGTCAGGACGGCAGTGTAGAAGTGAATACTTATTGGAGGTTCGAGACTTGAATATTCTACAATGCTTGGAGCATTTCCGCACATTGCTGCTTCACAAGCACCACTACCTGGAAGGGTGTCTCGCCGAACCCTTATCAACAGGGTCTCCCACACTTTCTACAGTTTTGCTAAAACGCTCATGGGTGACCCGTGGGCCCACCATGGGCCCTTTGTTGCGCATGGGGAACCCATGGTTGACTCATTGGCAGCCCATATGGGCCGCCCATCGGCATGCCCATGGGTATGTCCGTAGGCAGCCCATGGACAACCCATGGGAAGCCCATGGGCGGCCAATGAGAGCCCGTCAACCGGAACCAGTGTACTCCTAAACAATAGATCATCTGCTTTGGAACGGGCGTTATAGCGGCTAAAAACCCTAACGAAAATCCTAACCCTAACCCCAAGCCCGCACGATACGTGCTAAGTTCTGCAGTAATTTGATATGCCGGTGGCGAAGTTCCAGGGTCAAGTGCCCACGGTGGGCACTTCATGGTCACTTCATGGGCCGCCCATGGGCGGCCCATGGGTGACCCATGGGTGTCCCATGGCGTTTCAGCAAAACTGTCAGCAGTGTGGGAGATTGTATCAACAGGGCGTTTATGCCATGCGTGTTCGTTTGGGGGGGTTGCAGTTGTCTGCGCGGCCAAATCGCTGAGTCGCGGGTTGTGTACAACATGGCAGGAAAACCGCAGTGAACATTAGTGTAGGTTTCATTCGTCTCTCCCGGACAGGCATTGACCATCAGATGCCAGCTACCTGGAGCGTTCCGGTATGTAATTCAGCATTCGTTCGAGGCGCAAAGTAGCATGAAGACCGTTTCAACATTCGCACGTCGATACCATATGCGATACGGGAACAGCAAGTAAACTGTGAGCTATCACCAAACACTCGTTTCACATTAGCGACAAAGCGTTTCACGCTGCGGTAGCTCTCGTTCGTGCAGCGAGGAGAGTGTGTAGCAAGGACGAGTATTTGACGGTCAAACCACCAGCCTACCGCAAGCGCTCTCCTCGTCCACACTACGCGGTGCTGTCACCGATGGAGTTGGATACTTTCGACCTAACAGGATGCCTTCTTTAGGTGCACCGAGGGAACGACAAGGCATCACACAACTCACAGAAGTTGAAGCGCGTCCAGACCGTCCAGGAGCCCCGCGGGGAGCGAAGCGAGCTGGTTGCCATGCAGATAGCTGATTTGTGCCGTACCGCGCAGACGAACATGGGGTGACGACAGTGTGCGTTCAGAACACACGGTACCAACGGTAACGTCATTTGGTCTCCAAACGGCACCCACAAAACCGGTGCGACACCGAAAAAATGCGTGAAACGTCAGCCATCACCAAGCACACGGAGCGAGAAACAACGGGTATTTTGGCGGTAAGACCACAAGCCTACTGTACGCGTTCTCCTCGTCCAATCTACGCCGCACTCCCGTCGATACTCTCGAACAAGAGGTTGCGGCTCAAGCTGATGGGTTCCACTGAGAGGAACACGAGGCGTTAAATAACTCACAGGTTTCTTAGAGAACCCAAACCGTCCAGAAGCTCCACGGGGAGAGAATCCAGCTGGTTGCCATTCAGATAGCTGAGATGTGCCACACATATCCAAAAACGGGGAGTGACGACGGTGGGCGTTCGGAAAAGGTGCAATCAACGGTAGCGTAATTTCGTCACCAAGGGCACTCAACAAACCTGGTGCGACACCTGAACAACACGTAACCCGTCAAAACGATCACCAAACACTCGTTCCACGTCCACGAAAGCTTTTGCGTTGTGGAACCTCCCGTTGTGCGGGGAGTGAGCTTCGGCAACAAGAACGGCCAACTCACTTAGTAGCCTACTACAAGATTTTTTCCCGTCCACTCTACGCGATGCTCCCGCTGATGTACACAGTGCGACGCTCGACTACAAGTTGGGTGCTCAAGCTCAAGAGGATGAGTTGCACCGAGTGGAAGATGAGGCGTCACACAACTCACATGTTGCGCAGCCCATCGTTTCCGTCGAAAAGCCCCGCGGGGAGCGAAGCGAGTTCGTTGCTATAAAGATAGCTGATTTGTGCAGCACCGAGCGGGCGCAAAACGGAGAGTGACGATGACGTTACGCGTTCAGAAAAGATGGAAATCAACGGCAACGTCATTTTCGTCTCAACGGCGCCCCCTACAATGCTGGTGTGACACCGGAACGGAAAGTGGACCGTGAGCGATCACCGAACACACGTTCCATACGAGCGACACCGGCCGGTTGTGGTAGCTCTCGTTGTGCGTGGGGTGAATATGGGTAGCGGGCAACAAGAACGGGAAGTTGACGGTTGACCACTAGCCTCCTCTTTCCTCATCCACTCGTTGCGGTGTTCTAGCCGATGGAGTTCGATTCTCGCGAACAAATAGGTTGCGTTCTGTAACTTGTGTGGATGAGCTGTAGCGAGATGAAACCGAAGCGTCACGCAACTCACAGATATTGCAGCGCACCCAGACCGTCGAAAATCCCCGCGGGGAGCGAAACAAGCTGGTTCTCATACAGAGAGCTGATTTGTACCGCACCGAGCAGACACGAACGGGGAGTGACGACGGTGTGCGTTAAGAAAATGATGGTAACCAACGGCAACGCCGTTTTGCCACCAAGAGATACCCTATAAAGCTGGTGCGACACTGGAACAGTACGTCAACCGTCAGCCATCACCCAGCACTTTCGACATCAGCGAAAGCGATTCTCTGTACGGTAGCTCCTGTTGTACGGGGAGTGGGCGTGGGCAACAAAAACGGGAATATCGAGGGCTAAACCAATAGCCTACAGCAAGCGGTCGCCTCGTTCACTCTATGCGATGCTCTCGCCGATGAAGTTTGATGCTCTCGAACAAGCAGGTTGCGTTATTTACCTCAGGTGGATGAGTTGCGCCGAGAGGAACACGAGGCGTCATACGTACAACTCACAGGAATATAAGCGCATCCAGACCGCCGAAAATGCCCACAGGGAGCGAAGCGAGTTCGTTGTCATCTAGAAGTCTGGTTTGCACCGCCAAGCAGAGGCGAAAATGCAGAGTGGCGGCAGAGCACGTTAAGAACACGGTGTCAATCAACCACAACGTGTTTTTCGTCACCAAGGTGCACCCGATACAAAGCTGGCGCGACACGTGAACCGTCTACCATCACCACGCGCACGTTCTTCATCAGCGAAGCTTTTCGCGATGTGCTTCTTGTAGCTCCCGTCGGGTGGGGAGTGAGCGTGAACGGGGATTGGGGAGGTCAAACTGCCAGCCTATTGCATCAAACTGCCAGCCTATTGCAAGCATTCTCCTCTTCCACTTGATGCCGTGCTACCGCCGATGGAGTTCAATACCCTCGAACAAACAATTGCGTTGTGTGCCCAGGTGGATGAGCTCCACGTAGAGAGGAAGACGAGGTCTCACATAACTCACAAACTTCGCAGGGCACCCAGACCGTCGAATATCTCCGCGGGGAGCGAAGCCAGCTGGTTTCCATTCAGATAGCTGATTTGTCCCGCACACATCAAGCAAAAAACGGAGTGACAACGGTGTGTGCGTTCAGGAACGCGTTTCGCGTTGTGGTAGCTCTCGTTGTCCGTGGAGTGGGCGTGGACAAGAAGAACCGATACTTGACGGTGAACTCACTAGCCCAGTATGCGGTGCTCGCGCAGATGGATTTCGCCATATGTTCGATAAATGAGGTTGCGTTGTGTAGCTCAGGTGGATAAGATGTACCGAGAAGAAGACGAGGTGTCACACAACTCACAGATATTGCAGCGCATTCAGGCCGTCGAAAAGACCCGCCTGGAGCGAAGAAAGCTGGTTGTCGCGTAGATTGCTGTACTTCCGCATCGAGAAAGCGAGAAACGGGGAGTTACGACGGTGCGCGTTCAGAAAAGAGGTGGTAACCAACGGAAAAATGTTTTTCGTGACCCAAGAGCACTCTACAAAGCTCGTGCGACACCGGAACAGCACATGAACTGTCAGCGATCATCAAACACACGTTCCATGTCAGCGGTACGTTTTCGGGGTGTGATAACTCCCGTTGCCCTGGGAATGGGAGTAGGCAACAAGAACGGGAAATTGACGGTCAAACCAATAGCCTACTGCAAGCGTTCTCCTCGTCCACTCTACGCGGTGCTCTCGCCGATGGAGTGTGATACTCTCGAACTAGCAGGTTGCGTTGTGTAGGTCAGGTGGATGAGGGCCAACGAGAGGAACACGAGGCGTCACGCAACTCACAGATATTTCAGCGCACCCAGGCCGTCGAAAAGCCCCACGGGGAGCGACGAGAGCTGGTTCTCATGTAGATAGCTGATTTGAACCGCACCGAGCACATGCGAAAAGGAGAGTAAAGACGGTGCGGGTTCAGAATAGGTTATCATGAACGACAACATATTGTTTGTCGTCAAGGGGCACGCTACGTTGGAGTGACACCGGAACAGCGCATCACCCGCGAACTATCACCAAGCACACGTTCCACATCAGCGAAAGCGTTTCGCCTTATGGTAGCTCCCGTTGTACCGGGAGTGGGCGTGGGCCTTGAGAACGGAAATTGACGGTCAAACCAATAGCCTACTGCAAGCGTTCTCCTCGTCCACTCTACGCGGTGCTCTTGCCGATGGAGTGCGATACTCTCGAACAAACAAACAGGTTGCGTTGTGTAGCTCAGGTGGATGAGGGCCAACGAGAGGAACACGAGGCGTCACACAACTCACAGATATTTCAGCGCATCCAGGCCGTCGAAAAGCCCCACGGGGAGCGAAGAGAGCTGGTTCTCATGCAGATAGCTGATTGGAACCGCACCGAGCAGACGCGAAACGGGGAATGACGACGGTGCGGGTTCAGAAAAGGTGATCATGACCGACAACATACTGTTTGTCGCCAAGGGGCACGCTACATGCAACAGCGAAAGCACATGGCCCGTGATCACCAAGCACACGTCCACATCAGCGAAATCCGATACGATGGGTTTGTCCAGTGCCTCGGTATCCGGGCGTGGAAGGCACGGGACCTTCACATGGGGTTCAGCTCGAACCCGGCATTCTGCAAATGGGCATCCACTCGGACCTGCGTTCTTCCTGTTGCACGTTTTGTTGGGTTTTCGTTTGTTCGAGGCCGAAACTCTGCGAGCGGCACTTGAAGGAAACATCCCACCGTCTCATCCCCCGCTCTCACATCTAGCTTTTCTCTCACATGTAGGTGATGATGTCTCGTCCAGCCGAATCGAAGCACGCCTGGATATCGGGAATGTCAGCATCAACCAGATCTTCACACGAATTGCTCGCGGAAGATGACCACGTGAACGAACTGTTGGGCGAGAGACAACGTGGCAAGGTAATCCATAAGGTTAAGGGAGATACAGAGAAAGAGAAGGAGAAGTCACGACAAAGAGAACGACGGGCGGAGAGAGACAGGGACAATCCACAACGTCAGGACAAGCCATTTCCCAACGCTTTCATTTCGCGGATACCGACCTAAGAGGCAACATCCCGGGCAAGAATACTGTACAACCCACAAACACTTGCCACAAATCCGACAACAGGTACCTCTCGGCATGTAAAAATACGTGTAGCTAACCAAGGCCCACGCAATCAACTTCTCACAGCACGCGCTACAGTGTAAGTCTTGGCCTCTACAAAACCGATGAAAATGTTCTCCTTTAAAGCATTAATGAGGACAGACCCTCCTCAACGACACTCCTCGCTGCCCAAGGCCGAGAATGGTTGGCTACTACCGGAAGCACCAGACCCCAGCATCACGTAGTATATGCGATTCTCAACAAGCCTGAAGTCGAGTGGTTCTCACCAAGCAGCGCGTCGGCTAGCAACGTTGGGAGGACAGCCACATATAGTGGGACCCCGAGCTTCCGGTAAGTTGGCAACTCAGCGGCACGAGTGAACATCTAGTTTATGATAGCTTCGATAGTTTCGAAGCGATAATCCTTCCCTACCTCGGGAAAACGAGCCGGAACTTACATTTGGGTCGTGCCGGGGGCACACCTATAGTTCACGCTGTCGTTGGCGTCGAGGCAAGGATTCAGACCTGAAAATAACGTGCAGCGCTGTCAAAAAAATGGAGCGACGCTGTAGATGAGAACCATGATCAGAAACGCACCCCGCCAACATCGTGGAGCCAGCGGGCGGCGGGTGCCGTGACAGAATGGGACAAATTGGAATTGTGATCGTCGCCACGCATACGTTCGTCCTCGACAAGTCGGCTCAATATGGGGCCTGGGATTCACAAGGCCCGTCCAATGAAAAGGCCCATTATGAGCTATGCACGCAAATACAAGAATGTTGTTTCGAGGCGAATGGGCGCACTAGCAAAAATATTCCGTCGCATCACATAGCCGCAGCAGCCGTATGATTGCCGTGTTGTCATATTGATTGAGGCCGTGCTACTGCGGCGACTGTGGCACCAGGCATATAACGATTCGGTGTCGTGTGCAATAGACTGGAGATTGCTGGTGCTGTGTTCTTGCTGGGACGACGTGTCAGGCGTCGAACATCCGGGGATTGTGATGAAGTTTTCATGGATTCCACGACAACAAACACGTGCGTTGTTGCAGATCTGTGCTATCAGGTAAGGCAATGCCTGTCGGCATATATTTGTCAAGGTTTTGACGGCTGTGTAACCATCCGTCGTACAGCACGGCTCGCCTTCTTTTTCACCAAAAGGAATCGAGCAGATATTTGGGCGCGCGTTTGTTGAGCCCCGCACACACTCATTCGTCACGTCACTCACCTTTTGCCCCAGAAATGACGAGTAGGGCCGTCGGCAGAAGTTTGTACCAAGACGAGGACCTCGAAGGGGACATGTTTCTGGCAACATTCAAGTTGGGGGGGGGGATTGGCTCTGGATGATCAGATCTTCAAGTCATGCATTTTGATCAGCCCCGTCTGAAGGTGTTTCTGCTACCAGCATATATACAATACCTGGGGCTTCTTCCGCGTGCTTCCTACACTTTCTACAGTTTTGGTGAATGGGCGGCACGTTGTGCTCATGGGGAATGTCCGCAGGCAAGTCCATGGGTAGCCCATGGGCAGCCCATGGGCAGCCCATGGGTAACCAATGAGTGCCCTTCAACCGGAACCAGTAAACAATAGATTTTCTGCTTTGGAACGGGCATTATAACGGCGAAAAACCCGAAAGCTAACCCGAACGCTAACCCCAAGCCCACGATATACGTGCTAGGTTGGCGCTTGGTGGCTAAGTTCTAAGTTGATGTGCCGATGGCAACGTTCTAGGTTAATATGCCGGTGGCGAATTCTAGGTTGAAGTGCCGACGGTGGGCACTTCGTGGACAGGTCATGGGCTGCCCATGGGCCCACCCAAGGGCATTAGTGCGGGAGAATTGTCTTCCGCGTGGTATCTACACGGAATTGTAACATAACTGCTTTTTTAAAACAGAACGACACCTCATCGGTTGGCCTCGTTAATACATAGCTGCCAATACTGTGGTGTGCGTGTTTGTTTTCAGTATTAGCATCGGCTGCACTACATAATCCGCTGACCAATGAAACAGACGTCAGTCTCAGCGTTTGTGTTCGTCGAGAATACATCTGGCGCTAGTGACCACCCTCTCAGCGTGCACACAGTGGGTTATCGTTTCGTCACGGATAAACTCCATCCCCTTCTGCCCACCACCACGTTCCTTCCTAGCGGGTCTAGTTAATACACGCGCACCTGTATGTATCTATCCATGCATACCTAAGCATGCTTCCCTAACTGTTGCTCCGAGGTCTTGTACCCCGCCAGATCTCGGCGCTGCTCGGCAGATCTCTCAACATGTTGTTTGGCAATAATTTGAATTCATCGAAGCACCTCACAAGTGATCACTGGGCCAAGCCACCATTGGCACTGTATTGTAGCAGAGCGGACAAAACAGGATCGAAGGAATTGCCTCGACATGTTGACGACGGCGTGAGGGATGAATGCGTACGCATGCATCCCATCCACACTCGTTTGTCGGCCTTTTTTTTCGGCTGTTTTCGGGGTATATATGTTGGTATGCAGCACACAAGCTGGCAGATGCCGTAAAAATGAGTACCACATAGTTTGCACTGCTGTTCGCACAGTCTATGTAAAGTTGTAGATGTAGATCGGCTGCTGCTGTGGACTGGATCCCATACCAACCCAAATCTAGTCTACGCAACAACCTCTAGCACCTACAAATGTCCATACCATGAGCACACCACCCATCAACCTTAAACTTTTCCACCCAAAGCCACGCCAGCTGTACCGTGTGGGTTCGTACCTTTTCCTCTACAGCCGGACAGCTCCTTTCTCGATCGATGTTGTTGGTGGTTCTCTACTGGCCACGGTCGAAAACAAGTGCCGATCGGCCCGACCTACCGTAGTCTCAACTCCTCACCACAGGGTCGAGTTGACTTGGACGAGTAAGCAGGGCCAACGGGGTGTGTTGGTACAAATATGTCTCGAGGGTAATCTCGGCCCTCTCGGAGTGTTTTTCGAATGTAGGGGCTACGAATGACCTTCTGTGTGATCGGGGACTGGATTTTGATCGAACGAAACATTCGAACAAATCGAAAAAATTTGTCTCTTTTCTTTTCTCTTTCGTTTTCTCTGAAAGCTACTCCGAAGAAAAAGCCTCTTGTATCTTTGGAACGCATACCATCACCGTACTGCTGTGTCACATAGGAGACACTTCCCACCAAAACAAGGAGCTCACGGTGAGGTTGAAGATTTTGGGAAGCTCTCTGACCTGAACTATTGTACCTTCTTGGGGTAGTTTTTTGAAGATTAAACACACAATCACTGAACTATGTACCCGCTCGAGAAAATACCCCAGTTGGAGGGACGTGCTGTAGCATGCAACACCAGTAGGGAAAGGGGGAAAGGGACCTGCCGGAAACCGCTGCGGCGTAATAAGAACGATTCCCGATTCTGCCGAGCGGCAACTTTCAAAAAGAGAACCAATAATTTCGAAAACTTCGCCGCGTCAAGTCATCAGCGCCAGGCCAACGCGGGGAGGGCTGGCACACAATAGAAGTTCGCGGTCCACGCTCATGGTTTTTAATCTGCGCTACAAGTCCCTCGGGAATCAGAGGAGCCTTGGCTCATCGTGGTGGTACCCCTGTCTTTGCCCGTCAAGAGAAGAGCGCAAAAGCTTGTCGTGTTGAACTGACGGCGGACCTGAGCGATGGATCGAGAAAACTTGGGTGCAGCTCGTACATCAACTACACCCACGCAGCAGGAAAGGATGTCGCCACTGGGAAGCCAAGGAGAGGTTTGTTGCTGCCTGGCAACCATCTCACTCCAGCGGCCATGCGCCGTACATCGATGCAAGTGCGTGCGAGGCCGAAGCCCCACCTCCCCGAGAAAAGCGGCCGCCGGAGTGTCAACATCGTGCTGCGGCATCAGCGGAGGGCGCGCCTGCTGACAAGCGCCGCGGAGCACGCCTTGGCGCCGGCAGGCCGAAGGGGAGATACGGGAAGATGAGGCTTCACTCGGTTGTGAAAGACTCGACACCATAGGGATGTACGGGGTGACATGGTTACTTGTTTGTTTGTTTGTTTATTTGTTTTCGAGTAGGTGTCGTCTTTCACCTGTGGTGCCTTCTTGCTTGAGGTCTCGAGCCCCGAACTCTACGCTCGTTGTTTACAACCATGTTGCAGTATTCTCTGGGGGTTGGGAGTGGTACAGCGTCGGTACGCCGGTACCTGTTGAGGCATAAGGATAGAATCTTGTGAGTCTAAGTTTGATTTTTTATTTTGTTTTCGTTTTGCTTGGTCTCACGTGTCACGTGGGAGCGATGGGTTCTTGTGTTGTGTCGATTCCTCCTTTCTCCATCCGAAACAACATACTGTAGCTTGTACAGCATGTCACCTGCTGCAAAGCCTGACTGCTTGGGGATTGGGGACCTTCTTTTATTGTGCATTTCGTTCGTGTTGGTGTTTATGGGTCCTTTATCTTCTCTTTGTGGCTTTTCGATACATATATGTACAAACTAATATACCGTGCTACAGGATGGTAGCCTCGGAAGGGCATCATCCGCATTATAATCAGTTGGACAAGTACGGAAGTTAGGGGGCTACGAGCAGAGATCAAACGATTCAAGGTGTGAAAACAACAACGTTGCGCAAGTGAGTGTCGGCAAGGCAGTATTATCTCGCGACCGATGATGATGCAGTGGACGCGACTCCCAGAGGACACGCCCGAAACAGGCAACAACCAACCCAAGGCTTAACCAACCCCATCCACATGCCATTAGCATCAGGTCTGGCGAAGTCAGCCAATTCAAGGATCCTCTGCATTCGTATGCATACAAGGTTGCTCCGCCGGCATTTTTTGCTCTCGTAGAGGACCCGTGTGTAGTGCCCTGCCCTGTCTTTCCATCTAACCGTGGCCCGCTGTGTGAGGTGCTACACTCTCGGAATACCAAGTCGGTCTAGCCTCGTGGCGCACGGTGTGGGAGGTTTGATGACCGTTCGTTGTGTGAGCCTGGTGCGGGTACGGTGCCGTAGCTTCAATTTTGCGACATCATCTGGGTCCCGTCCATATCATACACACACCTCCCGAGCCCGTGAGAAAGTGTGAAAACAGACAGGAACCGATTTGTACGTGTGCGTGCCTGGCGCCACAGGAGTTTTCACGCAACAGAAATATTTCGTCCTGATCATCGATGCATCAACCTCATGACGTGTTTGTATCAGAGTTTGTAGCCGCTGCTTGGGTGGTTGATAACGCTCGGCAAAAATAATATTGTGGCCTCTATCCAGCTCCTCCCCCTCCCTCCCCTGCACAGAAGGTAGACAATACTGCCGTGGTCATACGCTAATGTAAACACAGAGCCTCTGATGGAAGGCAATGTGCATCAAGGACAAAAAAAGTGAGGTGAAATCTCGAAAGTGGCTCGACGACACGCTTGCTCGTTTTATACACCCGATAGTGTGGTGCGGGCTCTCCGAGGCATTTTGGGGCTTGAGCGACAAACCCCTGAGCGGAGTACACTTGGAAGGATGCAGCGAGATGAGTTTCTTCATTTCGGAAAGGGGTGGCAGTGAATCTCCGATCTCCACTTTCCGTGACTTGATTTCGTACAGAAAAAAAAAATCAGCTTGACATTGATAGCCACGACACCTGGTAATCCCATCCTTGTACATCGCACAACGGGGGTACTTGGAGCCAAATCTGCACATCCTTCCTGTGCTTACGCCTCCGGAGAACTCGTATCAATCCCCCTCCCTCGGCTCCCTCACGCGCAACGGCCTCCTACATCGCAGACCCTACTGCCGACAATCAATACTTCGTCGGTCGGCCCACATCCGACACTGCAAACATGAGCACAAAGCACAGCCCAGCCTTTTCCCGCGATCCGACCAAACCGCAGTGACTTGCTTCCCTCGCCTCCATACGCCCACATCTGGAAAAATCTCGTTTTTGTTGGCGCCCAACCTTTACGGCCTGACCAAAGCACGTTGTAAAAGGCTCCAACTGTCTACTTGCAGAAGAAACAGACCCCATGGGGAGGGAAGATGGATGGGGTCCCGCGTGGCACTTTCGACCGCCGTGTTGACCGTGTACCCCTGACGTACATACCGCTTCAACACGCCTTAGCCAGGGATTAGAACTCGTCTTGATGGGCCCATACCTTGACGGTCCTATCGAACGAGCAGGTCACTATCTTCCTCTCATCAGGTGAGACGTCGCAGCCCGTCACCTGTTACATACAGAGTGCATACACGCAAGGTTGTGTTCAAGGCGGTGGCCAAATTCAAAGGCAAAATCACACGCGTGGGCGCGGGTCGCGCGCCGAAAGCAATCAGCGATCGACGGACAAAGCGTCGTCCCGTGCAAACAAAAACAACCGAGAGACCAGACACTAAACGTTAATAAACGGACACGGCGTGTCTACCCTCCGACAGCGGTAGCAGCAACGGTCTCCACAAGAATCAACCAGCGTGATATTTTGACAAAAAGAGACACCGCAGGACCTGATTGCACGGATAATCCAGGATTCGCATGCCAAGCTCTTGACATGAAAACGTGCGATCATGTGCGTCTGGTCAAGCCCGTCTTGCCACCAAGCGTGACACCTTCGTCACCATGAATTTAGGAAGAACTTCCTCGGTTTTAAGGGTGAACGCAGAGGAATAACGGACGAAGGCGCTTTGATAGTCTCCCCCTGCTTCATGGTCGGTCATCCACAAGACCACTGAAATCCAGGCTAGAGCACACAAGCAACAAACTCAACAAATAACGGCACCCGTGTGATGTTCGCCATCTAGCGTTGCCCCACTCACGGCCAAATACCGTGGCAGGCAGGAGCGACCAGTACTGCGTTTGAAGTGGCAGTGCATGCCATGTCGTATTCGTAACACCGCCAACAACCTCCGCCGAAACAGACGGCCGCTACTGCAGTAACAATCATCAATCGTTCAACTTCGAGATGAATATTTCACGTAACGGTACCTGCCTGTGTATTTCCCCTCCCATCTAATACGGCCACTCCATCTTTCCAACTACAATACGGCCTTGTCTCTCCAACTGACAAAATTTCGGCTCCAGGGTGACACGGACAACATTCCCTCATTATCTGCGAGTGCTTCCCTTAAAAAAACGCATCTATGAGGTTTTCCTACATCTAAAACACGGCAGCACCCCCATGTATTCAAGACACTTGCCTTGCCCTCGTGCCCGGACAGCGTGCGCAGGAGCGACCAGTCCCTAGTGGACCAGACCTTGGCGGTGCTGTCGAAGGACGCCGACACTAGCACCTCCCCTGAAGTGCGGCTATACCTGTAATTCGTGATTCGAGAGTGCGTGGCATCCGAGAATTGTTGTTGTTGTTGTTGTTGTTGTTGTTGTCCTCGCATAAAAACTCATCCGAGAATGTGGATGAAAATCAAGGTCCTGAAGCCAACGGCCAGATACTTCAAACCAATATTTTGACGAACTGAAAATCCAGGAACTTGATAGATAAAAATATATATATATTCAGTCAACACCACCAAGCATTGGGGCTGCTTGTCGCTCTTACCGTATGTCCGCGACCAGGGTGCTGTGGGCCGGCAGGGTGTAGCAGCAGCGTTGCTTCCGAATATCCCACACCCGGACCTGTGATGGTTTTCACGGCACACAAGCACACGAGGAAGAACACACGCAGCCGTGAGCGTGGAACCAACCCTCACCCCGCGAGACCGTGAATCAGCTCCGGAACATACCGTAGGCGACATGACACAAGATACCACACCCGCTGCACCGATGTTCAAAAGGTCGGGTACACCCACGACGAAAAGGACGAAAAAAACAAGCGACACGTTTTCGGAAAAGCTCTCGACGAGCCGGTTCCAACTCCTCCCGCCATTTTCGATCCCACCACTACTCGTTGTTGTGGAGTAATCGAGCCTTGGAAAATTGGTTCAGGGGGTGTGATGTCTTACGTCACCTCGGTGCACACAGCACGATTGGCAACGACAACCTCCACTGCCGCCAAAAAAACACATTTCGCCACGTTTCACAACACTGCGGCCTGGCGGCGGGGGAACTACTCCGTAAATTGGGAGTGTGGTGGTAGGTTCTGGACCATCGTATCGCAGTGTGGAAGCAGTCTGCTGAGAAAGTCTGGTTTCCGCCACTCTGTGGGTGTACTTTCACAACGTTTGTACACCCCACCTTCATCCGCCCTCCCATATCCACCACCCGCGTG